TGCAGTTACATGATGGGTATTGAAGGGCCACAACAGCAGCTGTTTACAGGAATGTGAACAACTTAAAATAATCAGTAACTCCAATTCCAAAACCCCAAGAAATGAGCTTTCATCCATCAGAGTAATAAATGCACATCTTTTTGACACCAACATTGCAGCTGGTCACAAGACAAGTTAGCAAGCTTTGCCTTTATTGCACAATAGGTTCCTTTTGACAGCATTTCTGCTTTGAAAGAAGTTGTTTTGAAACTGTAGGTCAAACCCACTTAAGATCAAATTTGTTCAGAAGTCCCAGTTTCAGTAAACACCATTTTTCACACCAAATTGTTGGTAAATAGCTATCAATTACTCCAAGCTGCCACCAAAGGACACGCATAAGATCAGCTCCAATTTATTACAATCCTCACTACAGAACTTCTGACAGCTTTCTTTTAGAGTTCTACTTAAGGCACTTAAGAATGAGCCAGACCTGCTGGTGCATCGTGGCGTTAACTGCAGAAGGCACAGAGTAGGGAACTTGGTTCCATGAAACAGCCACATCAACAGCTATTTTAAAGTGCAGACTCGCTGAACCCTGCAGATATCCACTCCTGATCATCCAGTCCATCATGTTATCCTGGGGTAACAGGACTAACAGATATACTTGATCACAGTCTTGATGCAAAGCACAGAGAGAACATCTCGGGCAGTGAATTAACATGAACACAAAGGGGGTGGGGGGGGGAGTGAATACAAGGATGCCTCCAAATCATGAGTTTTCTTATGCCATCTCATGAGAAACACAGTTCCCTATCTGGGAAACTAGTCCAAACAGAAACATTAACCAACTATTCCCTTTTCTCTAACAGGACAAAAAATACACTTCTCAGGCTGTCAGTACTGAGTTCAGGGGGGCAGTAGAGTTTAACAGAACTGGCATCTTTGGGACACTAGCCCAAAATCTGATAACTGCTTTAAATCTGAGCTGATCCTAAAAACCACTCCATGTCTTCAAGTGACTCCAGGAGTGTCATCCATGAGACACACAAATTTTTCTTAAAAAACAAAAAAACCCAAACAAACAAAAAAAAATAAAACCCACACCCCCCAAAAAAAAGCTTTGTTAGACTGTTAAAGTCAAGCAGACTCCTTAAGGAAGAAACTCTCACCAAGATGTTAAACCAACAGTAAACCAAAACTCACTGGATTCTTTTCTTCCACAAACTGGAAATGCACTTGAAGCATTTAAAGGGCTTTTGTAAACCAGAACCAAAACTTAACTATTCAGCATAATAAACCATCTGAAAACCAATGCCCACAGCAAAAAGCATGACCAGCATGGAAGCTGCTCTGCAGACAGCAAGCAGCAGCTGTGACAGCCTTCCCATCCCCACCATTTGTGACAAGCCCTCACTTCTGTACTGCAGGACACTGTAGACCACACAAACTTCACACTGGTATTCAACTCAGACTAACTGAGGTGTTCTGATTAAGGCTAAACCTCCAAGTTCATGCTCCTTCCCAGCAAAGAGCTGAATGTTAATCAATGGCCAAGTCAGATCAGCCTGCACTTTCCCTAGCAAGGACCAAGGCAAATCCCACTTCCGAAACCTGCTCCTGGAGGAGTGTGAGAAGATGGACAAGCAGGGAGTTTGCAGCGAGCTGCAGCTCCCATGTCACAGCACTGGCACAAGCAGGTTCAGTCAGCAACACATCTCACTACCCCATCTTTAACTGGATGAAAACAAACAGTGGTGCAGCACAAACAGCATCCCAGATCCAACAGGAATGCTGAAGACCAGAGCTAGAGGTTATCCCAACTGAAAGCCAACGTGGCAAAGGATCACAGTACCACATACCTTGAAGGGGCTGCTTTCCAACAGCATTTTCACCTTCCTAATCAGTCAGCCATTACTGGGCTGAAACAGGTAAGTTCAGTCATAAGTCACTCTTTTCTCATTTCCAGTTTTAACCATTATCCAGGCTCAGACTCATGGTAACACACTCACTGCTCCTTACAGACAACTGATACAAGTCCTTAACTACTACAACCCACTACAGCACAAAGTGCTTGTCCAGTGCTCTCCCACAGGCAGTGATTTGCAAACACCACGGTGTTTATGGTGTCTATGGGTGCAGTACTTCAGGCGATCAAAGAAAAGGCCAGTCTTTTTTTGCTCCAAGCTAGCATACCTTGGAATCATGAAACATTTATTTGCTAACAGGATAATCACCGTGGCAACTCGCTTGCAGGAAAATAACAGCCAACAACTCCAGAACAAAGGCAGACCCCTGAGGAATTCTTTAAGGGAGACCAACCAGATCACACAAGCCTAAAAAATACTCAAATTTGCCAGATTTATTTCTGAAGAAGCTGTAATTAAGCATCTGCAAACTTAGCACAATCCATCACACAAGTTGAAACAATGGCACTACCACCCATCTCAACATCTGGGTGCCTTTTTATGTTCTCTGACACTCAAGACACCCTATAAGGCAGATTAGGGCAATGGTCCCCAGTGTACACAATTTTGCCTTACAGACCATTTCCTTAAATCAAAAGAAAACTTCACCTTATACCCCAATTCTTTGCCACTCCATACATTAGTTTTGACTTTTGGTTATGTGAATCTGAATCATGAAAATGCAGTTATTGCAAGCAACACTTAAATCATGCTTTTCATGAAGTGGAATGTTTTACAAAGGTAACTCAACCTCATCTAACAGATAAGGACATAAAGAGTAATACTTTGCTTAGGGACACACAGTCAAGGACACACGGAACCTGCATTCTTACAGGTTTTCAAAGCTACTGAAGGAGTTGCTGAATTTTCACAGGGCAGCAGTTCTTTGGGGAAATGCACACATAGAAAGTTTGCTGCACTAACAATCCTAACAAAGAAATTCCCTAAACTACCACCCCTTGGTTCTTGCTCTGCTTCTAGGGAAAGGAAAGCGAGGTGTCCCTGCCCATGGCAGGGGGGTTGGAACTTGATGATCTTAAGGTCCTTTCCAACCCTAACTATTCTATGACAGGAGGAGTAACTACTACACAAGTAAGGATCCCGTTCTCAACCACAGCACCTCACACAATCACAGTTTACACTAGCACTGCAGATACAGTCCATTTTACTTTCCTGCTGTAGGAACATCATTGTCAGGCTACTAAGCTAGCCAGGTAGGTAGGTAGGTCAGATCTGTGTCCCTGCAGTATTGTCTCAGCCTGAGTCACCGGAGCTCACAAATAAAAGCTTTTAAGAGAAGTATGCCTGCTAAACACACTCTGTGGAGCAGTGGAGCACACTGAGAGTGCAGTCAGGAGCTACTTTCAGATATTAGTTTTCCTTTCAAAAAAGGAAACACCCCCCCACCCATCCCACCCAAACAAAAAACCTACAAAAAAAACCAAACCAAACAAATAAAAATAAAAACACACACAAAAAAGAACGAACAAGCAAAGACTCAGACTCATGTTTGGCTCCTTCCCACTATAACTCACAGTTAACTGTAAGACTGCCACTGCCATAGAGAGCCAGCATGAACGCCTGTATCACAGGAAAGATAGAATCATAGAATAGTTAGGGTTGGAAAGGACCTTAAGATCATCTAGTTCCAATCCCCCTGCCATGGGCAGGGACACCTCACACTAAACCACCTCACCCAAGGCTTTGTCCAACCTGGCCTTGAACCCTGCCAGGGATGGAACGTTCACAGCTTCTCTGGGCAACCCATTCCAGTGCCTCAGCACCCTAACAGTAAAGAATTTCTTCCTTACATCCAACCTAAACTTCCCTGTTTAAGTTTGAACCCATTACCCCTTGTCCTGTGACTACAGTCCCTAATGAAGAGTCCCTCCCCAGCATCCCTACAGACCCCCTTCAGATACTGGAAGGCTGCTATGAGGTCTCCACGCAGCCTTCTCTTCTCCAGGCTGAACAGCCCCAACTTTCTCAGCCAGTCTTCATACAGGAGGTGCTCCAGTCCCCTGATCATCCTCATGGCCCTTCTCTGGACTTGTTTCAACAGTTCTATGCCCTTTTTAAGTTGACACCAGAACTGCACACAATACTCCATGTGAGGTTTCACAAGAGCGGAGTAGAGGAGCAAGACCACCTCCTTCGACCTGCTGGTCACTCTCCTTTTGATGCAGCCCAGGATAGGTTGGCTTTCTGGGCTGCAAGCGCACATTACATGTCCAAGTAGTTTACAAAAGAGTCAACAGATGTTATGAGTGGACACTGGCCTCTTCTAAGCCCACACAGAGGAAGTTAGCAGACTTCCTCATTCCAGGTTTAGAATTCAATATGAAAGTACAGCTAGAAGCCTTCTGGTAAAATACAGCTGTGCAAGCTGGTGAATTTCTGTGCTGCTTAAATAGCTACAGGTCTATCTTCTGCTATCTGGGTGGGACGCTGCTGCACAGTCACAAAGCAAATCACATCCAGCTCTGCAGAACTGTACATTACAGGCAGACTGCCCTGCAAGACTGACACTTTCTAGAGCAAAAGGACCACCGTGCTATGACCTGTGCACAAGAAGGCACGCATGACCTACTTCTTTTCCAGCCTTCACTGAAGATGCTTTCCAGTTCAAGGCAGGTTTCTCCTAACTTCATCTGAATGTTTTAGCTAATCAAATAGTGAAATCACCATTACCCCCCAGGTACATTTCAGTGACTACTTAAAGTGTCAAATGCTTTGAAGAAGAAAATCTCTACAGACCTTGGTGGCATTTAAGATCTGACTGGGTTAGCAGTGAAGGCTCAGACCATACAGCAGAAGCCCCTCTGAAAGGAATCTTCTGAATATTCCCACAGCAGGTCCAAACAAGGTCACCCTCCATACAGTGCCAGCTGGATATTCTGGTGCTCACACAGTCCCACTGAACATACTATATCCCATTGCTTAAACTGTGAATAATGGGGCAGATCAATCTGAAACTAGAAAATGTACACCTAGAGTTCTCATCACCCGCATCAGACAGCCCCCTCTTCCCGTTTAAGGGATAGTAGGCACACCTACCTTGAAATCGCTCAGGCTAGCTTGTCTCTTTGCATAGATATGCTCACAGTATTAATCCAAATGTCTTCAACAGAGGTCTGATTTTCAAAATACTTCGAAGTATAAATTCCACAGGAAACAGGAAAGTCAGGGGAGGGAATGAGACACAAATCAACTTCTATAATTGCAGACGTCTGCAGTCAGTAGCATAGGTCACTTCCAGAGTTAATCTTGGCAACAAAGCTTCTTCGTAGAGGAGAAAGACCTGCCAAAAGTAACAATGATAGTAAAATACCCCATTACCACCTAATAAGCAACAAAACACCACCACAGATTCAGACTCTCCTTCACAGAAAATAATTTACTTTTATTTGAAATACTGAGTTTCTGCTAGCTTTGACATACTTAAAATCAGCAGCAGCCTCTCAAACTACCTTATATTCTGAGTACTTTAATCCAACAAATTATCTCAAGGAGGAAAAGCCTCCAAGAATTCAGGTAACGTTTGATCAGAGCACACAACACTATGCCACACCACAGAGTGCCTTGTTACAGACAACACTTCCCAGTTTGTTATATGCCTTGGTGTGGTCTGCGTATCTTCACACAGGAATACTTGTGTGACCAGCATCACAGCAAAGAATTAAGCTGCTGTCCAAAATGTGGGACACAGAGAGCAATAAAAGTCCAACACAGCACAAATAAAAAGTACATCCAAGGAGACTTCCTGTGAAACATAAATGCTAAGGAGTATTAGTGTACTTCTGAATTTATCCAATTTGGATTTAAGCTAATAAAACATAAACCCCTTCGGGCTCTTCTGTGTCTGCATTTCACATAGTATGGCAAATCAAGGTTCCAAATCAAGGCTTTTGAACGCTACGGTGATAGAAGCTTTTGTACTTCTGGTACAACAGTAGGATTCTTCTTTATAAATAAAAGAGGTCAGTTAGTTTTACATTATCCTAAAATGTTTTGTTAGTATGAATGGGTTCCATTTTGCAAAAAAGACATTTAACTTCATACAATCACTTGTTTCCTCCTCTTTTCCTTCTGTGCCCACCCTAACATGCTCACCCATTTTTAGAATGGCAAAATTCGAGCTCACTCACCCATCGGCACAACAATCAGTACCGACATTAGCTCCGAAAAGGCAGCGAGAGCGGGCAAGGAGCAGTGAGGCACACACCGAGCCTCGGCTGGCTCTGCAGTCAGCGAGGTCAGGCGCAGCCGACTCCGCCAGCACAAAGGACCCGCGCACGGCAGCGCCGGTCCATAGGCTTCCGCCCACCGGTGCCGGGCTCCGCTCCTCCCGGGAGGGGGCGGCGGCCTCGGGGGCTTCGTACCTTCCGCTGGGTACGGCAGCGCCTTCGCACAGTCGGGGCCGGCGCCAGCCCCGGCACTGCCGACAAGGCCGCGCTCCGCTCGCGCCCCCGGCCCCGGCCCGCCGGCCGCAGTAGCCCCAGCAACGAGGCCCGCGAGCGCCGCCGGGACGGAATGGTGACCGGTGGGGGGCGGTCCCGAGGCGCACTAACCGAGTCTGGGCCACGGCCCACTCCCGGGGAGCTCCGAACCGGCTGCAGGAAAACCGGGGGCGGTGGGGCGGGAAACCGCGGCCGAGCCACAGGCGGGTGGAAGCCGCAGCGCCTGGCGCCGGCCGGGCCGGGCCCGCGGGAGTCCCTCTCCCCGTCACTCACCGTCGGAGCGGACGCGCCCCACACTCGCCGCCAGCGGCGGCTCCATCCCGCGCGCGCCGCCAAAGCACTCGGCCCAGCTGCGCGCGACGTCACTGCGCAGCCTCGCGGGGGGGCGGGGCCTGGCGCGTGTGATGGCGTCAGCGACGGTGGGCGGGCAGAGGCACGCCCCCAGCGGGAGGGGCAGCGGGCGGCGGCTGCTGGCGGTCACGTGGGCCGAGCGGGCGGTGGGTGCCTGCCGTTCGCCAGCGGTCCGGCTTGCGGTGTGCGCGGGGTCCGATGGAGAGCGGAACGCGTTTGCGGTGTGCTGCGGGACAGCAGCGTCACCTCTGTGGCTTTTGGCAGCAGCAGGGAGGGCGGCTCCGAGGGGAGCCAGCCTGGGCCGCAGCTCGGCCGGACAAGGTTCGCTTCTCGGCAGCGCGGGTACAGGCCGCAGCCGGGTACAGGCCGCGTCGGTGACTGCCACGGTGCGGGCAGACCGTGAGCGCCTTCCGGCACCCAGCCCTGGGGAACGGGGCGCACCCCGCCGCTCCCAGCACTCTGTGCGCGCTACCGCAGCTCGCACCGGGCCCCGGTGCGGGGAGAGGCCTCGGGCGCAACCGCCGGCCGTGCTGAGCGCACTGTCAGCCCTGCGAGGTAACAGTTGCCGCCCAGGCCCCTCGGTTCTCCATGTACTCTAGGAAGGATTAGTAGGCGGTATTGGTCTTCAATGTGGTTTGTGAAGTCTAGTTTACTGTATGGAATAGTGCTTACAGACACTTCTGGAATAGTCGAGCTATTGTACACATTTCAGAAGGGCTCCTTCATCAGCAGCTTCTGGTTTTCCACCATTTTCACCTAACAGTGAGTTAGGTGACCTGCTCTGAGAACTCACCAAAGACCAGGATATTAAGACTCTGCTTTGGTGGATATGATCTCTCCTCATCTGCACAACAGTGTCATCTAGGGTGACTCTGCTTGTGTAGTTTTAGAAGGCTGCACCCTTTCTTGAAGCTGATTCAATGAAAAATTTGCCTTGATCTGTATTTGTCTGCAGCAGTTAATGTATTTAGCCACAAGGAAGTTGGAATTTATACAACTTGACTTTTATTTCAAATCAGTGCTCATTACTACTTACAGTTTTTCACATGAAGTTCAAGAATTTATGAACACCAGCCAGCATCTTTCGCACTCAAATCCTCTCCTTGCCCCCTCCCCCCAGCTGTCTTTCCCCTCTACCTCTCCCAGGTCACACTAATATGCCTGAAGCTAAAGCTGAGCCTGGCAGTGACATGCTGGGGGTGTACATGAAAGGCAAGAGCTGGATGCTGAATTCAAGGCACTGCCACTTCAGGTTGCAGTCACAGAGTGTGCAGAGAGGACGTGGATCCTGACAGGCCAAGAAGACCTAAAGGCAGGAAATAAAATGTGGTGAACCTTTGCGACTAAAGTGAATACCCACCCCTGGCATAGCCAGCTCCACTGAGGACTGTGCTGTATCCCTCCTCACTGCCGCCTTCTCTGATGCATCAGTAGTCAAACAAAGTCTTACACTTTCCAGAAACAATTGGTCACTGGGGTCTCACTTGGCGTTGAGTGATTTGCAGCATCTAGGAAATGAGGGCAGTTTATTTAAAGCCGATGGGAACTTTGTTTCTTCCCTTATCTCCTAAAAAAACCCAACAAACATATTGCAGGACTAGTAAGAGATCTTATAATTTCTGTTTAAACTGTTTTTTTTTCACTTCTCCTCCCTTTGAAAGCTGAATTACCAAGCATTGAGATCTTGTGTCAGCATAGGAGAACAGAAAGTGAGACTGACCAAAAGCAGTAAGTGAACCCGAGTGGCTGACTTGCCCTGGCTAACTGCAGAGCAGGTGCAGCATAACAACCAGCATACATGGTGGCATTTCTATTTAAGAGGTTTATTCATGCTCTTTTTCTTATTTATTAATTACAAATATCCAAGTAAGTAACAAATTGTTAGTGTTAGATCTCCAGCTGACATTAAATTTGGCTTTAAACATGTACGTTTAGTAACTACATGATTAGGGTTAAATTATTAGATTCAACTATTCAACTATTAGATTCAAAAGTTCACAGGAAATCTGTGATTGTAGTCAACACACAGAAGTGATGAGCTGGGTAGCCAAGGAAGCAATTAGAGTACAATCATCTCTCGCTGCAGGTACTGGCTATTGAAGTTTTGGCTCATTAATTATATTCTGTCTGTATATACATTCTCATAGGACTTTCTGCAATATATGTCTACATATTTGACCTTGTACCATGTAGGTGATCAATGTGCCAACTTAAAATCAGTTCACTCCTTGCACGGGAGAAAACCATTTGTGCCTCGCTGGTCTCTGTCCAACGCAGAGGCTTGTGCCAGCACAGAGTGAATACAAAATAAGCACAGTGGTTATTTTTCTGGGCTGGTGGCATTCAGCACAGCTCTTAATGCTCATTTGCACAGGGCAGTCCTGGGACAGGCTGTGGCTCTAAATAGAATGCAGGGAGATGAAAGCTGGGCTAAAACACCAGCACACGAATAGCCTGCATGGGGCTGAAACTGGGGAGGGTCTTGTGTGCTTCTGTCAATTGATCTTGATTCAGGTGGGGAGAAAACCCATCATGTGGACTGTTTACATTTATCTTTCTGTGCCTTCCTCAAAACATCACACTGCCCTGGTCAGATCCTATGATGCCACCCCTGGTTTGTCAGGCAAGCCCTTCAGTATCATGACAGTCCCCAGTCTTGTGATATGAACCACTGTGCCTCCATACATTTGGGGGTGGTTTTGGTCCTGTTCTTGTATAAATTTTGCTCTTTCAGTAGGGAGTTGCTGGGAAGAAACCAAGTATCTTATTGAAGACAGACATGAAATAACCTGGTGAATTGAATTGAATGTAATGGACTGATAAATTACATTCAGATTAAAGCTTAGTTCTTTAATCTGCAGTCACTATAGAAACTAACCCTGCCTGACTGCTGGGATACTATTTCAGAAGCACCAGCAGGCATCAGCTATACTTCCAGAAATGGTGAATAAAGGACATGAGCTACCCTGGGAGTTTGTTACAGACAGAAATACAAGCTCAGGAGGGCAGTTCTGGTTAGAATGGTGAAAAATCTTTGCTGATCTGACTGGAAAAAATATGTCTTTTAATTCAGCATCAGCTCTCAGAGAAGCCTTACATCAATAACCACAAGTGTTCTGTGACGCCTGAAATCTGATTGCCTTTACATTCCTTCTTGCAGAGCATCAGAAGACATGGCTACCTTACAGATGTTTCCTAGTGTCCGTGAAACAGTTCAGTTTTGCAGTGCTCTTGCAATGAGGGAATTATTGCTTTAACATGTACCAGCATATGTCTGGGGATAGGGTTCAGAATGATACTGGGCAAAAATAAGAGAAAAAGGATTTTTAATGGATTACAAACAATTTCCAATATTTTGCAAGAGGTTTGGGTGCCAAGGCAGTTCAAGCAGGCTGAGTATGGCCTGTTTGGCCACCACTTGCAGTGAGCCTTCTGGATTAAGTGTTAGACAAGGACATTTCCAAGGTGTTTAACTCCCAGGGTTGTAGTGACCGACCCCAGCATCTCACCACTTAGACCACATCCCTTGTAGCATGGGTGAGTATACCCCCTTTAGTCTGCTACCATCTGTCCTTGCAGGCTCCAGTGGCTCACAGACAAGCTGGACAAGGGCCCGGAGCAGATCCTGATGCCACACACCCCATGGGTGATGTGAGCTGTGAGACAGCTGTCCTTCAATTGCCTAAGCCTTGTGTGGGTGCACCCAAGCTCCCGGCATCTTCATTCTGGCAGTGTGTGCTCGCATGCCACCTGCAGCCCTCATCTTCCCAGAGTCACCAGCCAGGAGGACTGGATGTGTCAGCGACAGCACTCCTGCGGGTGCTCTGCAGCACGAGAGCTGAGGCACTGAAGGGCTGCCCCTGCTCACATGGGGTGGCTGCAGGGAATGGTGTGTAGGGAAAACTTTTTTTCTCTAGAAACAGTGAAAAAACTTTTTCCTAACTGAGGGTAGTGAGAGCTCTTTTCTGCATGCAGTGAGTGCAGTTTCATGCCTAATATTGCATGCATAGAGAATAATTCCAGTTACTCATGCTTGCAATTTTGCAAGCACAAAATTGGGCATGTACATTTGAAATATGCAATGAGGTAATGCATGCTGAAAGCCAGGAGAATAAATGTAAAGCTGTTTAAGTTAAATAAATTACTGCCCTCTGACAAATTCCAGCCACACCAGCAGTTGCCCAAGAGCAGGAAGAAACCGTGTCCATTCTTTGAAAATAAGAAATAGAGCAGAACATTGAGCCTTGATTGCAAATACAGTAGCAGCAGTCGTAACAACACTGCTTGTGCTGTCATGGCAGGAATAAAAAATGCTGAGCTGCAAAGCTTACCATTAAAAAAAGGGGAAGGGGAAGAAAGAGTTAGCTGTCAGGGCTTCACTGAAAACAGGCCATCAACTTGGAAGTGTGGAAAGCAGGACAGGGGTCAGGAGTTTGCTAAGAGGATTTTTACAAACACACATGTGATGTCAGTGCTCTCATGCAAAATGACACCTGTTAATCAGGTAAATCTGGAAAGACAGGATAATGTAGGAGAGAAAATTCTCTGAGACTGTTCCACTGGAAGCTATGAGACAGCAAGACCCAAATACCCATTCAGACAGAGACCGAGTCCTCTCGGATCAGGGTTTGGGCAGGATTGAATCCTAGGAAAGACTGCCAGGAAGCCAGGACTCTTAAGTCATCTGTGGACTGAACCCACAAAATGAACTTGTCTGACATGTCAGTACCAGATGCTATGGGCAAACTGGGTTAAAACTGACGGATTGAATTTTGCAGCTAGTATCTATACCTGTAATTCATACCCGTGCAACTCAGGTTTCAAGGAAGGGAGTTGTGTTGTTTTCAACCATGCAATGTCAGACACACTGCAACAAAGACCCTGTTAGTCCCTGTGTTTATGTGGATTCTTCATGACTTACAATGTCAAATACTATTGGGGTTCTGGACGGCTCTATTTGGGGGTTTGCAGTATATGAACAGCCTTCAGGAACTTGGTTTACAGAATTTTCTAACTGAAAGGCCTGTTATGGCACAATTGGTTAGGTAACCAAAACTAC